TCTGCATTTTCTATTGGCTTTTTTGATACTCATGCAGGATTTTCACATTTTTAAACTTTTAAATTAAGGCTAAAATGAATTTATAATTTTAAAGTTCAACCGTCAATTATCAAACCAGTCATAAATTTTTCAATTAACGCCTAATAGCCTTTTCACATTGAGTCAAAAAGTAACCCATCAAAATTTTTCAATTCAATTTCTTTTTATTTTAAACAAAAAAAATAGTAAAATAGGAAAGTGAGAAAGCACAAAACTTATTCAATAAATAATAGGTTAGAATTATTTTTCAGGTGGCCAAGATTGCATGCCCTAACATAGCTACATTTCTCTCCCTCTCCCTCTCCTTTCATGTTTTTTGTCCTATTTCTCCTCTAGTCCACAAACTAATCCATGCAATTAATATTTAAATTCTTATTTTATATACCGTGGCGCATTATGCCGTACTACAATACACGGTATAGTGAGACAATTCTCACTTTAATTCACAAGCTTCACCTCGAATTGTAATATTTTCACTCAATCTTGATCATATAATTGTCTATTAATCTAAAATGTTAATTGACAATCAAAAATTATGATTACACAATTACTCCACTAATGTACTAATCTACTTTAATTAACAATTGGCTTTTGGATTAAAAATTTAAGATGTTACAAGTAATGTGGTTTTTGATACAGTTCAATAATGTTTTTTTTTAATAAAAAGGGAAACTTCATTCACAAAGAAGTATATGTAACATCCTGATTTTTTATATAATAAAGAAATTGTGGAATTTAGGTTTTGAGAAAAAAAATGATAATAATAGGAATTTATATTATTTGAGGTTATTTAGAAATAATATTATGGTTAGGTATTTAATTATGAATTTAAAAATTTAAATTTAAAACCACATAAGTAATATTTAGTCAAGATATAATACATAAATAATTTTTTTTATGTATGTGTTGAAAAAAAAAGAGAAGGTAGAAGGAACAAAAAAAAGGGGTGGAAGGTTGTTGTTTCTAAGTCCCACATTGGTTAGATGAGGGAAGAGAAGAGGTGCCTTCATGTATAAAAAGGAGGGGATGTGTGCATTAGGAAGCATGAGAGGCTAAGATGCAATTTAGAGAAAATTGCAACTTTTGGCCCAAAGGTTTGAATAATTAAATTCAAACCTATAGTTTTTTTTTTAATATAATTTTGGGACTCACAATCCCATTTTTATATTATTTTTCTCTCTTCCTCTCACGTTGCTCGGCGTTTTCTCGCAAGGGGGGATTATTTTTTTTCTTCAGGTATGTTCTAACTTTCCTGTTTAGATTAGCATTTAAAAATTTATTCAATTACAAAATTAATTTTATAGTTATTTTCTAAATAATATTAGCTTTCTAGTGATATGATTATTTTATAGGATAGAGTAAATATTCTGATTAAGATTTTTTTTCTATAGGATAGTTAATCTGATGATATGATGGATTAAAAATATAGGTTAAAACTCTTAGGGATATAATAAATATTATAGAATACTTTCTTGAGGTTGAAACTCATGTTTAAGAATTTTTGAGTTAAAATCTAGATCTATATGGTCGAATTTATGTGGAATCTGAGATGTAGGGATGAACTTCTGATTATTAAATATTTATTTAAGTATGAATAGGTATTTTTGAGGTTATAGAAAGGTGATTTGAGGCTTCAGGATAATTCTAAAATTTTTAATTTATTTTTAAGCGAATTTTTAGAATATAGAAGGATGAAATTGTGATTCTAGAAGTAATTTGAGGCTTAAAAATAGTTTATTAGGGTACGGAATTTTAGAAAAGAATTTGAAAGTTAAATGAGGCATAAATCTTAAATTAGTGTTAATATAGATTATAGATCTAAGACTTTCTAACTCTTTAAATTAGAGTTATGTATTTTAATGTAAAATTAATATATAGTATTGTGAAATAATTATGTAGATTATATTGACAAAGATAGTGGTGAAAAAGGAGTTGTGAAGGGGAACTTGTTATTCAAGACACAAGGTAACCATTATTAATGTGTTGTGATGAGTGTGTTTGTGAATGGTTATGTGTTGTTTTGTTGTTTGGAAAAATTATGAATTATTGAAAATAAATACTGTTATATACTTCCGTGAAATCATTGTCAAGTGGGTTAAAAATTTATTTTTGTTTATCATGATGAGATATTATTGTTCGGATATATTTCTGTTTGGATATTTGAATGATGCATGACTTTTCAGGGTATTTTAATGTATGGTGTTAATGGAAATATTGTTCGGTTAATTATTACCACGTGGTAAGCCCTCATTGGACCCAATGAGTGGCGTGTCGCTTGGTCCAACTCACCTTTGGCCGGGTGATTTGGCGTCCGAGCATGGTGAAAGGAGGATATAAGGTGCAGTCATGCAATTAAATACTTGTTCGGTTTGTTTGGAAATATTGTTCGGTTAAATGTTTTGTGTGCCCACTTAGCAATCGCATGATTAGTTACATCCACATGCATCATTACATATTAATTTTTGGTTACTGGGACTTTTAAGTCTCATTCCCCGTGGTTAATATTTTTACAGGAGCGAGTCCGGCCGAGAAAGCACCAGAGGTGTAATTATGGTGTATGAGACACCATCTTTTACGTTGCCTCTCATTTTGTATTATGCAATGAATCTTGTGCCAACCTAGGACATTTCTTATTTTAACAACATGTAAACTCTAATCATTTTTATTAAATACAATTATATGACCAAAAGGATTATGTTTGTCCCCCTTGATTCATGACCTGATTTAAATATCATGCCATGAGAATCCTGTCTGTCTCTCATGGTTCTAATTGTTTTTTTAGATATTTTAAGACCTGTGGTATATTGTCTTGGATGTATCATGGTAGAAATTTTTCTACCATGATAAGGGTTCAATGAAAAAAAAATGATTTGTTGAATTAATAATTTGTGAAAAATCGGTTTGTAAATTTGAGGGTGTTACAGTATACAAATACAAACTAAGAAAAACCAAAGAAAGGGAAGGCAAAAGAACCCTTGTGAGGAACCAACAAGAAACCTAATGAGGACTAAATTATACACATTAAAATCACAAGGGACACATGTGCTAACTTAATAAGATAGTTAGTACTTTTGTTCTCTTCTCTATAAAAAAATTGAATGTTAACTTTTCAATTTTGAAACAAAAGTCTTCTTATAGCTTGTATTAAATCATAGAAGGGATGATAACTATGATTATCCCTTGTGATAATGTTATTTTTTGTTTAAGAATCAAAAAATATGAGACCGCAAATGCTGAGATGTTGCCCAAGTTCTCTAGCCAATGTAATGAGGAGATGCTGGGATGCCAGTCTTGAAAAGTGACAGGAGATGGATGAGGTGGTTTCCTTGCTAGAAGCCATTGACATATCAAAGAGCGAAGGCGTGATCCGTCTTGATCAACAGCAAGGTTGTCTTTCTCTCTACAAGTTCAAAGGACCATGATCCATAGTTTTTCAATAAATGATCAGTTGGTTGGGCACAGTGAATTTCATGCTCTTAGAATCAATATGTATCCTTGGTGAGAACAAAAAATGAATTCGGAACATTACCTTCATAACATTAAATTACAAGATAACCTGCGGTCTTTCTGTTTGTCTTTATACTCTTATAATATTTCACTAAATTATTGCGGTAGAAGACATTGAATCGTTCACTTAATACTCTATCAATGAAATCATACATTAATCATTATGAGTCCCTCCTTGCATGTAATTAATTTGGTAAAAAATACAAATAAATCTACACATAGAAGGCCTAAAGATAATAATTCATGATAAAAGTAACAAGACATCTTTGAGAATGTTCAATGTTATGTTCTAGGAGATATTTAAGAACACTGAAAATGACCTAATTTTTTTTTAATACCCTACACTGATTATTTACTTAAATTCTTTGCTTATGAGTCGTACTTCTTCACCAGAATTAGTTATGATCATGTCATTTACATTTATCACTTGTTCAGTTGGCTGCATATTAATGCATTATAGTTAAAGACCACATGCCTAGTTAAAGACTAAATAACACATCAACTCGTTGATTATAAATATATAGTATGCAACAATGGAGATGCTTCACAGTACAACTTATCCTACCAAAAGTGATTTTAACAACACCCGTAAACTAATATAATTAAACGATATCTCGCTTGTGCATCAAAGGGGGTGGGGCACTAGTTTTTTAAAAAGAGGGATGGAATGGCTTGCAATGATACTCTAATATAAATCATCCTCAATCTCGCTTGTGCACCACAAAGAGGTGGGACAGTAATTTTTCATAAATTCCAATTTGAAGGATGCAGTGGCCTAATATAAAAAATATCATTCTAAAATTATTATCATCCTTTTCACCTCTTATCCACTAAAACTGAAAAAAACATAACTACAACAAAGTTAGATAAATTAATATTATTTTCATAATAATTCTTAATAATATTATTATTCATGTAATAACATTTCCAAACCCTTCCATTTCATCTCATCCCATAGTTTTAAAGAAAAATGAGAATAAAATTTTTTTAAAATATAAAAATGATAATTTAATCTCTCAAGATATCATAATTATCCTGAAGTTCTTAGAAACTTTTCTATTATTAATAAATTTATATAAATTATTAAATTATTCTTGATGAAAATAAATAATTTATAAGTTTTATTTAAATATTTATAAATAGTGAAATATAAAAGAAAGAATTTAATATGTAAATTTGTAATTTATTGTTATATTATTACAAATATAAAAAAATTATGAATATTTAAATCATTTATTTTTAACAGAATAATTTAATAATTTATATAAATTTGTTAATAATAAAAAATTTTAAAAAAATTATAAATTTTGAGAGATTAAATTATTATTTATATATTTTAAAAATATTTTTTTTATTATTTTTTTTAATTTTAAATGTATTATCTCGATGGGTCCAGATGGGCCATCCGCGATGATTTCACCCAATTGCGGTTTAAACGGGCAAAACCTCTCTCTCTCTAGCCTCTCAGGCCGCGCTTTCGTTGCCTCTCAATGTATGTGCCGAATCTCCCACAGAAGATTGCTCAACAACAATTAGAAAAAAAAAAAAAAGCAACAAATTCACAAAGCTTCTGTAGATCACGAGGGAGATCCAATTTTGTCTGAACTTCGTGTTTGAGATCGAGAGACAGCGTGAGCCTTCGGTTTGGTTCTCCCCGGTCGCCAGCTGTATCCTACATTGTTTGGATCGGATTCCATTTGGTGTTGTTCATCCAATTCGGTGGTTGGAAACCGAGTTCTTTGAATTTCAAAAGCTTCTGAATGCGTATGCTTCTCGATGAGGTTGTTTGGATGCCATGAATCTACATTTCTGTTGAATCAATTCTCAAATACTTTTTGCTGGCGTATTCATTTCCCCCTCAAGATCTCCCTTTTGTTTGTACATGCAATAGTGGGGTAGAACTGTGAAGCATCGTATTCAAATACAAATTCCCATAGCTTTTACGAAGACCTCTGGATTTGTCATCTGAAGTTTGAAGGTTGTGGATATCATTTCTTTCAAGTAGGTACGATGGATCCATTATCAGCAATTAGCGAGTCTCTGGCGGAGATCGACGGACAGATCAGTGACATTTTCCGTGCTTTATCGTAAGATTTCGAACTTCGCTGGTTTCTCAAATTTTATTGTAGATAAAATCTTCCTTCCCTTGAACTGTTGCGATAATATCGAGGCTAGCATCAGCTGGGTGCTGGTATTCTCAATGTTTCAAATCTTACCTCGTATAATCCCTGTCGTTAAATAATGGCGCAACTTGCAGCTGTCTATATTGTTGGTACTGAATAGTTGCAGTGTTATCCATACAGAAATGGATTTCAGAAATTGGAGAAGATTAAGGATTCAAATAGGCAGAGCAGGCAGCTGGAAGAGCTGACCGATAAAATGCGAGATTGTAAGCGGTATGTTGGCGTTGATCACATTCTCTCTAGTCTTTCTTATTGGTTCCATTAGTAGCTTTATTTGTATTTCTTAGAAGCTTGATTGTCGTTTATGGTTGCGTTATGGTATTTCGTGTCATTAAATAGTGCAAGAGAAATTTTGGAATAAAATCTAGAGAGGAGAGAACTGATACGAAGTTGACAAGAGGGGAATTGGGGCTACTTAATTGGCGAGTGTGTGCGAGAACCACAGCTATTCAAGTTTATGCTAGTTTAGGAGTGTTTGTGATTATAAAAATTTATGTAGCCCTGCTTAGCTTGCTCACGTCAATAAATGCAGCTGCCGCGCAGATTGTCCATATAAAACCATTTTTCTTACTTTGAAAACCTTATTGCTTCTATTTTAGTGAAACCATTGATCTTTGGAAGCTGATCGTGAATTGCCATACCTTAAGAATTGAGGTTTTGATCTCTACACTGCAGTATATGGTGTATATTAATATATTTTAGCGGCTCTATTTTCTCAGGCTTATAAAAGAGTTTGACGCAGAAGTCAAGGCTCTGGAGGGTAGAAATGATAGAGAAACCAACAAGATGCTGAATGAGAAGAAGCAGTCCATGGTGAGATGTTAACTCTTGAGATCTATATAATATCCTTATGTTAGACCCTAAAATTCGTAACATGTTCTTTTTTCGGGTTCTTATGGTCCCAATAGTTATCATTGACCTTCTTCAACCTCACTGATAAGAAATTGCAATTTTTGTCGCAGATCAAAGAGTTAAATTCATATGTCGCTCTTAAAAAGCAGTAAGTTCATATACACTTGTAGTTGATATTGCTTTGTTTAATGGGCATGGACTCCATTGTTTATATCTTGGATGATCTAACTTTTTCAGCATGTCTTTTCATGCTATCTATCTTCTAACGTTAGGAGGGCATATATTTTGATGGCATAAACCATTTAGCCTATAGTCTTGGTTGCAATGCAGATATGCCACAGATATTGAGAATAGACGAATTCAGCTCTTTGAGGGGCCTAATGAAGGTTATGCGGAAGAAAATGTCTTGCTAGCTTCCTGTAAGCATATAAAGTTTCTTTGGTGTGTGCTTTTTCGCCATGATGTCCACTTAAGTTAGATGGTTTTGATGCTGCTAATCATCATAAATCCCGTCTTTAATTTTCATATAAATGAAAGCTCGCCATTAATCTGTTAAACTATGCAGAGCCAGTGATGGCGCAACGTTATTGTGTCTTTTCAACCAATGTATATCTGTCCCCTCAGTTTTATTATTTTATATATGGTATCTGCTTCCTGTTATGTTCGATTTATATAGTTCATAGTTGTATTGATCATTTCCTGAGAATCCCGATATCACTACATTCTAGTAAAAATTGATGCAGTTTTGGTCATGGGAGAAGCAGAGAATGAAAGATTTTACAGAAAATTTGAGTTGAGAGTATACTTATTACAGTGACAGTGAGAGTGGAGATTGGGGAAATTTGGTCTGCCTGCCACAATTTTCTATGTGTTGTACCTATGACTGATCATGCCTGCTTCTTGGAACATGCCGTTTAATATATGGAGCTTTTATAATGAAAGAAAATTCTTCTTTTACAGCAATGACAAATCAACAGTTGATTGGTAGAGGGAATCAGATGATGGATGAGACAGATCAAGCCATTGAGAGGGGAAAGAAGGTTGGTTTAATTTCTTGAAGGTCAATTTTGTCATAAAACTAGGTCAATTGAGACCTAGCTAAATTAATTTTGCGTTGTCTGGGAAAGTAGGTTGCGCTGGTCCTGGTAATGATGCTATTTAGCAAGTCCATTAAAAGAAGGTTTTGTCGTGGCAGAAGAACATTACACATCTAAAATCATATTAATTTATGTCTATCATTCACTTGATACATAATTACATACATCACTTATGAAGGATCATCCAACCCAATGTGGTTTTATAGAAATTTGCTGAATCTATTTACATATTTCTGCATGATCCTTTCTGTTTGGATACCTCTGGCTGATAAGTTGGCAGAAAGTTGATTTCTGTGCATCGCTCTATTAATAGGTTGTTCAAGAGACGATAGATGTTGGTGTAGAGACCAATGCAGCTCTTAAGGCTCAGGTACGTGCATGGTTGTTCTCCCGCCCAAAAAAAAAAAAAAAAAAAAAGAAAAAAGCACAAGAAAGGAAAAGGGTGGAATGGGTAATGATGTTCAGAGTTCAGACTCTTCCAATGTAATCAACATAAATAACTAAAGAATAAGAACAAAGAAAATTCTTTTAAGTTGTCATGGGTATTAAGGACTGTAATCTCTTCCATTTTTAGACGGAACAAATGAGCAGAATCGTCAATGAGCTTGATTCTATCCATTTCTCCATAAAGAGAGCCACTAAATTGGTGAAGGAAATCGGCAGGCAGGTCAATTTCTACATTATCCACCTGGTTGCATGGTGATATTTGAAGTATATTTTTATACATGGGTTAACCTACTGGAATCTTGCCATAGGTTGCTACTGACAAGTGTATTATGGCATTGATGGTTCTTATTGTGATTGGAGTGATAGCAATCATAATTGTGAAGGTATGAGTTTGTTTTCTTTTTATGATTTTAACATTCCTGATTCCTTTATTTATTTATTTATTTTTGTGGCATTGCAGGGTGAATAAATTGAACTTAGATAATTTGTTTACTAATAATAGAAGTAGTTGCTTGACTGTAATGTGTTTTTGTTGCTTGTGAAGCGCGTTTTCATTTTTTGAATGACCAGGAGGTGTTTGTGCTTCCCAGTTTTTTTTTTTTTTTTACCTGATAGCTTATGATGCCCCTTCATGTGTGTGTTACGGAAAATGTTCACGTCTGTGCCACTGTTTTTTGAATAACTAATCCATGCAGCCATACGGTAGTGAAGTTGAAGAAAGTTGGAAACTGTTAGCAGTAGCAAACATTTAGTTGCAATAATGAGAAATGCAGCTGCTTATATGCATTTGCTTGGAAATGAATTTGTGTGCATCTGAATCTGTTTTTTTTTTTTTCCTGATATTATGATGGTAATAAGAAATTTCTGTCAGATTATGATCATTATTTATACACACACCATGGCCAAATATAAATGCATGTAATGTTTGCCAAGTCAATTCCTCAATGAAACACCATGGTTTCCCTTTACCTTGTAGACCTCCATCCCAGAAGCTACCTTTATTAGTTTAGATTTTCCAGCAGTAATGTGATGGTGTCACATAACTAGCTTATTTTTTAAATTTCAGATTGTGCACCCAAACAACAAGGACATTCGGGATATTCCAGGATTAGCACCCCCAGCGCAGACCCGGAAGCTGCTTTGGAGTCAGAGTTGACCTATTATTTAGCGTGTGAGCGATGAGCTCTTCTGATTGGGTCTTGCCTGTTCTTTGCTTTGATGGCCATGAGGTTGGCTGCAGCTAATTTTTCATAGCAGAGCTTGCTCAGTTGCTTTTCCATCTGATTTTATGTAGAGATTGGTTGACCTGGGAATGGTAGGCCCAGCTTTCCTATATTGTGGTTATTGAAGGGTTTGATCATTAATTATTCAATGATTCAATGATTAAGCAAATTTTCTGTAGAGCTACAGAGTATTAATGAGCCGACGAGATTGATTGTTAAATGTATTTTTATATGTTGCTGTCGGTTTTCTAAGACAAGCTTACAGCTTAATTTTCGTTATGGGAATTTATTCAATTACTATTTTTTTTTGACAATTTTTTTCTCATACATATATTTATTATATTTGGTAAACCCGCACCAAGTACTACCCGTTCCATCTGGATTTTTTGTTAACTTTTGTTGAAGCTATCGATTATGGTTGTGGTGCCTAGTTGTTACAGGGAAGATGTAATCACCTTTTTCTCTTGTCCGCATAATCACTTTGTTATGAAGGCCTCACCTTAATGTGTTACTGGTCCTAAGCATAGGAACCGTACAATTAATCAAGGAATGAATTTCAAAGACCCAAGTTTTGCATTAAACAAAGCCGAGACATGGGAGAATGTCAAACAAAGCTGTGTTGCTAATTTGCTACATGCGGTTGTTTTCGTTTCGAACTAGTGTAATGCAATTTGTTGACGAAACAACGAAATTTCAAACATGGGGTAAAGATGCTTAACAAAAGTCAAAAGGTTCCTTATAATAACCCCATGCTGATAAGAAAACTAAATTTGAGGTTGGTGACATTCCGAATTTCCAACAGGGACTAGACTTGTGAAGAGATAAATATAAATTGGGTGGGTGCCGATGATCGCGGAGGTAATTGATCAGACAATGCAACTTGGTGTGAACACTGGCTGCAAGCCACTAAAACCAAAATACTTCCATCCGCTTTTCATTATAAGCTACATCTATCTTACCAGAATAAAAAGAAAAATAATTAAATCATTATCTTTATAAAAAAAAAATAAATATTATTTATACTTAAATGAAATATTTTAAATTTACATTAAATTTTCTCTCATTATGAATGAGTTTAAATATAAGTAATATTGTAAAAATATAATCAATGTCCCACCAAGTATCTTATACTCCCTTCATCTCAAGACACTTTTAGATAAATTTTACATATTAATAACACTCATTAAATACTTAATAATATTATTTTTTAAAATAAAAATATAAACTTTTTTAAAAAAATCGTTTATTTCATTTATTAAAAAGAGAGATGGGTGTCAATTAAATAGAGAAAAAAATTAATATTTAAATAAATCTATTTAATAAAATCTCAATATTTTAAAAATATATCTTATAATTTAGAATTAAATGAGTATCAAAGATCCTCTTGAGTCCCCCAAAACCATTATCTGACCAACTGGCTTCTTTTGCAAGGACTAAAGCAGTATCAAAGACCCTCTTGAGTTCCCGAAAGCCATTATCTGACCAACTGGTTTCTTTTTCAAGGACTGAAGCAGTGTCAAAGACCCTCTTGAGTTCCCCAAAGCCATTACCTGACCAACTGGTTTCTTTTTCATTTTGTTTCCCACTAATTTCGTATGACTTTTGCTTTGTGTTTCTCTAATGGTGCCTCATTTTTTATATTGACTTTTGTTGAAAAGTTTCATTTTTTTAAGCATAACTTGACCTCGACTTTTGAACTTTGAATATCCGTCATTCCAACGTTCTGATGCGCACGAGCACTAGGAAGTAGGAACTAGTAAAATGTGGGGAAATAGTTTATGTTTACTAAAATTTTAGAAGTCTTTAGACGTGATTGGTTTCTATTCTATTCCCACTTTTATTTTTTAAAAATTGTTTTGTAATATGATTTTTAAAATTGTTTTTAAAATAAAAATAAAAATGTATTTAGTTATATTACTTTTAAAAAATCTTACAATTAAAAAATAGTTTGATGGTAATAATTGCAGGCGTTTAACGATAGTGATTTAATAAAAATTGATTAAATTAATTATATTTTTTAATAATCAAATGTAATGTGTTGTGAAAATTAGAAAAAGAAAACAAATTTAAGATGTTTTCATTTTTTGTTTTCAAAAATAATAAATGAAAATAATTTTGAAAACAATTCAATCCAATACACTTATTCAAACAAAAATTTTATTTTTATTTTGAAAAAAAAGAAACCAAACAGACACTTATATTTTAAAATAAAGAATTAATTTTTTTTTGCTCGAGGAATTAATATTCTTCTCAAAGAAATGTTTAAGTTTCATTCAAACATGTATGGTTACGTTACGTACTTCAATTTTACTTTTCCGCAACACATAACTAGTTTTAGGACCATTTTACTTTAGTGTGTTAGGTAATTTAAAAAATATATAATTATAAAGTGTATTTTCATCCAAACTTCAGTGACAGAATTCACATTTTGCTAGTGCGAACATATTTAATTGTGCAGCTTCAACTCACTGTAAAATCTCCAACTCTCCATACGAAACAGTCACGATGAGTTATTAATGCTCTTTTTTGCATTGTAAGGTGTTTTGAATCTTTAAAAATATAATTATTTCTCGAAGTGGGGGTCTCTGCAAGTTAAGAAGCTAAGAAGCATGAAGGCATTGGTTGAAGACTCGTGCGTTTTGCCATGTTGTTGTCCTTGTGTTGTACTGTTTTTGTTTGTTTAGCTGTGTTATAGGTTGTGCTGCTGAGAAATTTTTAGATAGACCTAAAGCTTTACCTCATAAATGTATCGACCAATTAGAGTATGACATCTTACAAAATTTTAGTGTGAGATGTCACTGACTTAGAATATAAATTTATATTTCTCTACTTGTTTAATTTATATTGTTTGAATTATTATTTTTTTCTTGGCCTCTTTCTTCTTTCCAGAGCCCTGATTCATCATGCCCTTCTTTATCCATGATTTGTTGCCACCATCACCCCTCTTCCGATCGTAATGTCACAATCCAAACTCATATCATCTGATTTTCCAGGTCAAAAGAATCAAATCTTGCATGTTTTAACGGAGATGCACCCAGAAAATTTGTTAATTGAAAGATCTAGATTGGCTATATTCTTTGGTGCATTTCCTAAAACTCAAAAATCCTTTAAATGAAATGTCGGAGTATTTTGAGGTTAATCAATTTTTAATTTGTTTGGATTAAAAGTATAATCGATTCTTGAGGCTAAATAATTAATTTTTGGAAAAATTACCCAAACAGCAAAAAAAAAAATTATTGAGCTAGAATTACGTTTTGAAATAAACTCTGAAAGATTGTTTATAAATTTAATTTTACTATTAAATAATATATTTTACTTTTTATATAAAGGTTAACAAATTTAGTAATATTAAATATAATTTTATTAATAATTGAATTTTCAAAAGCAATACCCTTTGTGATAATTTGCATAGTTAAAATTAATTTCAGAAAAATAATATCCAGACATATTGTATTATAAAAAAATAAATTAAAATTAAAATTAATTATATTAATTAATTATTTTTATAATCAATTATAATTAAAATTAGTCATACTAACCAATTATATTTATACCTTATATTTTTAAATATCTAATTCTTTAAAAATATCTTACACTTTTAAACGGAAAGAGTAATATCATTTTATGATAATTTGTGCATTTAAAATTAATTATGAATAAATCATTCATATTTAATTTTATTAAAAAGTAATTTAAAAAAATAATATTGATCACGTTATAACATTAGCAATTATAATCAAAATTGATTATAATAATTAATTAATAAATTAATATTTAATTAAAATTTAAAGAGGTTCAAATTAATCAAGATGTCACAAACGGCATGAAAACTCAACCCCGTGTCCCTATGAGGCCTATTTGCTGACAGGTCCAGTGTGCGTATCCTTGTCAATCCAGTCAAATCCATCTCCCCACTCGATAATCTTCACGGTCTCTTCATTATCTTTGATTTTCATGACATCCCACGAGCAGGTGCCCCGGTCAAGCGTGTTACTGTGTGCATGCCGCTGATTTTCCACAAAGAAGGGTGCCGGCGGCACGGTGAACAAGGATTCCCAAGAAGAAGGGCCGTGAAAAAAAAAAGAATTAAAATAATTAAACAATAAAAATTAAATAAAAGAAATATAAATTCAAGTAAGTGCCGAATCATATTAAAATTTTATGAAATGTCATGCTCTGGCTAGTCAGTGTATAGATCAGGCATTAATGTGTAATTTGACTTTTTGTGATTAAGAAAATTGGTTTTTTTAAAAAAGATATAATTATTTTAATGTATAATTAAGAGGATGTTTTAAAAAATATTCTTTATTAGAAATGTAGTAAATGGTGTTTACTAATTAAGATAACTTTTTTTTTTGGCCTGAAGAATTAAGATAACTTATTAAACAAGAATAAATATGAATAAAAATGTATAATTTTAAACATGCTAAATTTTATCTTTGATCTTAGCATAAAATTTTAATTTAGTTTCTTAATTTTAATTTTTTTAAATCGTAAAACTCTAACACCATTAATTTTAAATGATTATTTTTTATATCAATTATTATTATTTTTAAAAATTAAATTTAATATATTAATATTTGATAATATTTTATCAATATTTAAAAAATTAAAATAGTAATTATTTGTTGATGAAATTAAAAATATTAGAGTTGAAAGATTAAAAAAATAGTTTATAAAATTAAGATAATCAAAATAAAATTTTATACAAAATTAAAAGATTAAAATTATATTTTAACTTTTTAAATATTATACTGTATTAAATTATAAGTTATTTTTAAATAAAATTATACATATCAATAAAATTTATTAAATATACTTTATAATTTTTATTTATAAAAAAAATTAAAGAGACAGAATAAAATTTATTAAGAGTTAATTAAAAGTGTAGGAGAGGGTGATTACTCTACTACAGACAACTAATTAATGTAACTAAAACCCAAAAAGTTTCAAAAGAAAAGGAAAAGGAAAGAAAGGGATAGCTAAGTCAATGTCGTATACGAGGGCACTGTGCGGGCAACGAAGGAGGCAAGCTCAAGGGCGGTCCATTGAATTGAATTGCCGTTGACATTGCCACAACACCTTCCGAGTTTGAAAACTCTCATTTATTTGCAGTCTCTGCGCAAAAATTTGGTCTCACACTTCGCCATCTTTCTTCTCCGGACGCAGGTGTGTTTTATCTTCCGCAGTTTCTCATCTCTTTCGTTCGGGGCTTTTCCTTTCTTTGAATTAATTCTTATTCCAACAATTATTCAATTCCTTCCACCCCACGCAACTCATGTTTTGTATTTCGGGAATTCTCAGTTTCTCTTGGTTCAGCTTTTATTCCCACTGAATTTCCATCTTACAGTGCATTATCATTCTCTTTGGGCATATCTTTTTTCATCTCTGTTTCTCATCTATTCATTTCTTGCCTCCCTTTTTCGGCTCTCAATTTCCTCCCTATGAATTTTACCTTCGTTGCAGAAACCCTATTTGTTTAGTATGAAAATATAGAGTCGGCGATCACATTACTCGATTGGGAATATAGCTGAGTGATTGGTTAGAATGAAGTGTTTCTTGTTCAAATGTAAAAAAGCATCGAAGTCCTCCCCAGAATCGCAGAAAGAGAGACAGAAGAATCATCCAGGATCAAATCACGCTGTGAGTTCAGCGAGTTCGCTGCCATCACCGAGAACCATAACAGAATTGTACAAAGAGAAAGAGCACAATTTGAGAGTTTTCACTTTGCAAGAGCTCAGGGAGGCCACGAATGATTTCAATAGGATGCTCAAGATTGGAGAGGGGGGTTTTGGGAGCGTTTATAAAGGTACAATATTGTCTCAAGATGGTCGAGGTGATTCTATTGTTGTTGCGATAAAAAGCCTCAACACCCATGGCCTTCAGGTATACCTGCTTCCACGGCCTTTTTGTTTTTGTTTTTGTTTTTGTTTTTTTTTATAGCCTCCTTCCGCGGCTTTGTTCTCGTCTAATCCTTTCTTTCTTTCTTTTTCTTTATCCGATTGTTTTGTTCACTAAGCAACCATTACTTGCTCCGATAGCTGACAGATAAATTGGCCTACGCTGACAGTTTACTTTTATGATATGTTGAAATGAATAGAGATTAGAGAGGACATATCTATGTTGTCTTTAGTAAATTTTTCTGGGACATGCAGCTGTGAAGAGAAGGTGCACTGCTAGAAGTTAATTGGGAAATGTGTTCCTTCACATGCCAAGAACAAAAAATCCATAGTATTAATATTTCTTAGCATAAGAAATACCGTATTTACATGCACATTATTATATCTCTGTCATCTGCAGGATTTATTATTATTTGTCTGCCAATCATATCCAATTGTTGAGTGTCTGAATTATTATAACACTTGCACATTATAGTAATATCTGCATTAGTTATCTCTTTACAATGATAGTCCTCTTTCTTGTTAAGGGGCATAAACAATGGCTGGCGGAAGTTCAATTTCTGGGCATTGTTAATCACCCAAATTTGGTAAAACTATTGGGATACTGCTCTGAAGATAGAGAAAGAGGAATCCAACGGCTTCTAGTTTATGAGTTCATGCCCAATAGGAGCCTGGAGGATCATCTTTTCAGACGGGCTTTTCCCACCTTACCCTGGAAAACAAGATTGCAGATCATGCTCGGAGCTGCCCAAGGATTACTTTATCTACACGAGGAATTGGAGATTCAGGTACATAATTCTTGTAACGATTTGTCTTGCAAATTGGACATCCAAACCCCTACTTTTGTTGATATCCTGTTCGTTTGTTTATTTGATAGGTAATATACCGAGATTTCAAATCGTCCAATGTTTTATTGGACACGAACTTCCACCCAAAGCTCTCAGATTTTGGTCTTGCTAGGGAAGGTCCAATAGGTGATCAGACCCACGTGTCTACTGCAGTAAGTGGATGGTGGACTTGGACTGTGTATTACCAAGTCGATATAAGCAGCTTTTCTTTGATTATCTAAAATTGACGAGTACACATTCTTTGGAAATTATTTGAGTTGACACCACCAAGGTTTGTGTCTTGTGTTTGTTATCAGGTGGTAGGGACATATGGATATGCTGCCCCAGAATATATACAAACAGGCCACCTCAAAGTTCAGAGTGATATATGGAGTTTTGGCGTGGTGTTATATGAGATACTGACAGGGAGGCAGGCATTAGATAGAAGACGACCGAAAGAACAGAAGCTTCTAGATTGGGTTAAACAGTATCCTGCTGACAGTAGGAGGTTCAGCATGATAATGGACCCTCGACTCAGAAATGAGTATTCACATGGTGCTGCTCGGAAAATAGCCAAGTTGGCAGACAGATGCTTAAACAAGAAACCTGAAGAAAGGCCATCCATGAGACACGTGGTGGAAAGCTTGAAGCAAGCACTGCAGTATTCAGAAACTTCAAAAATGGCTTCTGAATCATCTCGTCCTAAATTGCTCCCAAAAAGCAAATAGTGTGACTCTTGGCATATGCATTAGTTGGATAGATTGTCTGTTGTAGATTCCTCCTTTTGGGGATATCTGGGGTTTTGATCCTTCTGGTCAGTCCGACCCCCGAAGCTAGGTCCTGTCTTTATCCAACACTGGCTTTGAACCTGGAATCTGGAAGATATCATAATCGCATTAATAGGAGGAATCTATGCCGAATTTAGTTTCCATAGAATAAAGTCAGTTTGTTTATTTTGGATGGTGGAAGTCACTGTTACTGTAACATGGAGGAAGTCTCTAGCCAACTTCATAGGAAGTGTGAAAAGGAAGAAACGTATTCAGTTGGCCAGCCAAAAAAAAAAGATGTGTTACGTATTCAATTGCAGCTGGTCATATTTTCGGAGGGGTCTCTTTTCTATGTTCTTTTGGGCCCATTTCCAAATAGTTCTCTAATTCAAGCTTCTTTAACCCTTGAATAATAAATGAAGTTTTCAGTTTTCTTATCAATACTAAGTGTTTTGACTAGTTGAAGCTTGACAGATTAAAATAATAGCAATGGTTTTGTTGGGGACACTTAGTTTTGGGAAGAAAAAGGCGCATGCTAGCATTGACTTGAATGAAACTAATAATTTATATTGTGAGCCGACTGAAAATGGAGACAGGCTAATGTTAATAGTTAATACTGATAATAGGAGGCAGTGATGACGGACAAGGCTATGATGATTACTGATTGGCGATTGCAATAGACTGGTGTGGATGTGGTGCGAAAAAAATACGACCATTAATGATTTTGAGCATAGAAAATATTTCCTCCCTTCCTTTCCAATTCAATTTTTTAAAAAATTTAATTACTTTATTAATAAGAAAAATATATCTTTAAAATAAAATTAAGTATTTATAAAAGGCATTTTTTTTTTTACTTTTACGTAACGTTTTCATTAGAAGCGAGGGCCTAAGCCCATAGGTCAAAACCAGGTTCTCTGAACAATTTGATTGCCCGGGCCTCCAATATTTTTAACGCCCTATTCAGACGCAGTGGCTCCGTTCCAAACACAGAAAACCGTCGCAATTAGTTTGCTGAAACCTGGAGAAATGATGTGAAAGAGTGTTCCGTTTAGGTAAAATGGAGAAGAGCTTCACTCTCATTCAGACTATAGCCACTGCTGGCGTTTTCTCTGCGATTTCGTTCTGGTGACTCTCTTTCTCCCCTTTTCTCTTTTTTGTATTAGGCTTCTTCGTTTTTATGAATTCCCTGCATCAGGTACGGTTTCATGTTCGGCAGAGAATCCTCTCGCAAAGAGCTTGGCGATTTAATCGAAGATCTCCGTCGGGGAAATCCCTCGTCCGACCCTCATTCTCATTCTTGAGACAGTATTGGTCATCTCTCTTTGCGGTCTCACTTTTGGACTTTCTTGTTTTCCTGTTCCTATTGAACTCATTTCTACTTGATTTGTGATTTGGTGCAATTCGATAGTTAACTGTTCGTATAAACGGCAGACTATTTTGCTACCATAGACCTTTACCTTTTTCACTCACCATTTTCATTTGTTGTCCTTTATCGAAGAAGCTTCGCGTCGATTCATTTTTATTCAATGTGGAAGCAGGGTATCAACCTGAAGCGATGTGAACATGACTTTGATGAGTTGGCTGGGAAATCATTTAAATACCTGCTCTTTGGCGAGGCGATTACTGGACCATGTTCAGCGGCATATTTCATGTACTGGCTAAAACTATATTTTGCCACCTAGATTTCGTCCGAATTTTGAAAACCTTTGCAATTGTCATATGGGGATAACTCTATTTCCCGCGGTCTATAGATTCCGCACAATTCTTAGTTTGTACTTTGTGTGCTTTCAAAATTCAATGGACCTCTGCCTTGCCAATTTTGTAAATAGTGTTGATTGTAGGGCTTGGACCTTAACATTTAACCGTGAGGGTATGCTAACTCAATAATATGCACACCTCTATACGAAGAGTTTTATGTTAACCTTGACTGACTAGTTCAATGACTTCTATGCTTGAAATGCGGCTGCCTGAATCCATGATTCTTGGCTTCATCATCCTATCAACAACTACAGAAAATAAGGGTTCTCTCTACGTAAACAACTTGACTCATCGTCAAGCTTTCTTTACTGCCTTTCTTTCGCTCTCTTCTTGCTGTCTTTGGTTTGCACGGATAGTTTATGAATTAGAAAAGCAGTTTATTTACATCAATGGTTTTTTTTTTTTTTGTTGCCAAACATCAATGTTTTTTTTCACTTGTTTGTTCTTGTTTTTGTGAACAATTTAGAAATGATCAAAGCAATTTGAAAAGTTTAAGCTATCGAATATGTAACTTCTGATTTATGATTTAATGACGTACATCATTGAGCAGTTTAACCTTGTGGCTTGGATTTGACTGATGATAATCCGAGATCTCTTTTGCATGTTGATAATCAATGTGAATGGTTCTCCAGATAGGCAGAATTATATTTCCACGGAACTGCATTTTGGTTTCATCGTGACATCGAAGCTGCTTTGTGCATAATCTTCATGTGTTGTGGTATGAACTATGAAGAGTATTTTAGGAATATGAGCTTAGAATCGTGATGACTGTGGGCTGGGTTGTTCTTTAGGTGAAAACATTGTGGTCTATCTAGGTGCATAAAATACTGTGTGTGTAATTGAACAGATAGCACTAATACACGTAGAGAGAAGTTGGACCTGTTGACTATAATCAAGAAATTATAATATGCTCTTTTTTTTTTTTCCTTTTTGATCGAATTATAAGATGCTCTTATCCCATGGGAACATTGAATATTGACAGAATTGAATGACTTCAGTGTTTTGATGTATATAAGGAGTTTCAGGGCCTCTGGTTCTCTCTCCCAAACAACCGACCTCGCGAAATAGAGTCCAATATCAGTATGTAGGGGACCTTTATATATAAAGGTTTTCTCCAATCATATTGGAGTTACATACATGACATAAATAAAATAATGTCTTCACCATCGCAGGTTTTGACATGGCACATCACGTATGCCACAGTTCTTCTGTATTTGCTGTCACGACTTTTCCGTTTTTCTCTGTTGCTCTGACTTTTTGTGATTGTTCTGTAATATTTTACTGTGCTTTTGAATATGTATCCCCCCCCCCCGGACGCCTGAACATGCCTCCGTAAATATTCACACAACAGCAACCTCTTGACCTTGGCCTTGTTTCTTCTTAGTTCCTTTGATATGTCCGACGTACAGATCGGTCCCATTGGAATCACAGTGCGGAAGTCTGTGTCTCCGACCATCTTCAGACATGCTTCTCACGAACTCTACGAGGTGCCTCCAATTATCTCCTTCGAACAACTTTTTGTTCATTCTTAGGTATGTAAATGCAGTCAATCCATTGCCTGAGTCTGATCTGCTTGTTGCCAAAACTTGGGCATAAGCATGCTCATCATATCTCTCCAATGCATTCTCTCCAGCAAGTTCTACTCCAGCTGCCTTAGTTGCCATCTTCACTTGATGAACTAACCCTTCAGGTGAGCAATTTGCATGTTCTGGCTGCTCTCCGTCTTTCATCTCCATGCAGGTGAAATTGAATACAACCCCATGTTTTGCCAGCATTCTTGCTATTGGTAGATATCCGTCACGGAATCGAGTGTTGTAGTATCCAGCAGTTAACTCAGAAGCGTGAGACCTGGATCGGTAATGCCAGTGGATGCCCGCAATTTTCCCGGAAAGTTTCACCCCGCAATGTTGGAATATTTCATTGGCAGATTTGAGGATCATTTCGCCGTGTTCTAGCAATTTGCCGGAGTACCAGCCCAAGAAGAAGTGTCCGTACTCAGTGTTCCATGTTCCATCCCTTCTGAAGAATCCAGACTCCTCGGGGAATTGATTGTAATGCCCTGCGTCATGTGGTCCGCTTGTTCCCCCTTCTTTCCTTCCGATGGCCTCTGCTGATGCTTCCAGAGATGCTTTCATATACTGTATGAATATGACAAACTGGTTATTTTAGTTACTGAGATATTTTTCTGAAGGTGTATCTTGTGATGACGAAGAAAGTCGGAATCGTAATTTGGAGTGAAACCTCGCCCGCAGGCCCCAAGAGTGTTCTTTTTCAGCCGTTGTTTAGAAAGATTATTTGAATTATATGCTTTTCCCCTACTCTGGAAAATTAATTCGGGAATTACCTTGTCATAGCATTGAAATTCTCCAATGCCAGGAAAACTCCAAGTTCCGTTGCTTTCTGGATAAGATGGATATCGGAGCTCCCCACAAGGACCCATTCCCACTTGAACTTCCTGAAGAATAGAAAAAAGAGGGTGGTGTTGAAAGGCCTACTTAAAGACTAGAACTAGAACTTGATAATTTGGGTATAATTCCAATGCTGGTGGTGGTGGTCCACCTGCATCTGGAAACCTATCTCGTGTAGCAGCATGTACGGTTGGCTAATAAAGTTAATGCAATAACATGGAGAATGCAGCTACAGAACTTATAACTGAGCTTGTTTCACTCTCTGTTTCCTAATTGATTCCAAAATCGTAGAAGATCGAAGAAGGCGTTTTACTTACCACAATGACACTGCCCAAGTAATCTCTAAACGTGTCACGGAAGCTCCTCATGTAATCACCGTACACCTGAATCGGTGTCCTTCCTCTCAAGACAGGCAGTGAATCACAGCCTAACGAGATGTACTCAGGATTTCTCCTCCCTGATTTGTCGGTGTAAACCAGGTCCGGATTCTTGCTTATTTCTTCAAGCACCCATGGCGGCAGAGGGATGCTGAAAATTCCCATGTTCACCACATAATTATGCTTCAATTTGGATAACTTTGTTTCGTTTTATTTTAAACTATCAGTACTATTTGGTGACTATATTTCTACACAGGAAAACGTAGGAAACTTAGAAATAGAGACGGATATACCTGCAGGTGTCTCCGACATTGCCTCCACACTGATGAAAAGACATAACAACCTGAAGCTTCAAGTCATGCTTGTGCACCATGTTGACAAGCTCAACATAGGCATCCCAGTTGTAATTCAAAGGGCCATCTTTCTCCACCAAACCCCACCAAGCATCCACCATCACTCCTTCAACTCCGGCGCTCTTGAGAGCCACCAGACTCGCATTCATCGCTTTCGCCTTATTCAAAGTCCCTCCCATCGTCACTGTGTCTAATGGCAGCATCACGAACACCGGCACCTTCATCCACTCCTTGTGGTTGCTGTGATTGTGACCACGCGCAGCCGAAGGCGCGTGCACCTTCTCCACCTTCTCATTCTTCCTCCTCGTGTGATGATGGCTCGAGTGCTGCTGCTGATGATGACGACGATGACTGTCACGTTTGGCTGGTGATTCGTGCATCGAGGGTGAGTGCTTGGCTTGCAGGCGGAGCCATGGCTTTATTTTTGCGAAGGAAACTGAAGCAGAGACGACGTCGTCGAGAGCTTTGGGCTCTTTCTGGTTGATGAAAGAAATTGAAGAACGAAATGCTAGAGCCATTTTTGTGTTTGCAGGGGAAGACGTAGGCACATGTGGTGGAATTAGATTACTCAACTTGGAAAGCCGTACTTTATGGGGAAAGAAATAGTTCTAATTTCGGAACTGAACTGATGAACTCGACAAAATTGGTGGGGTCTCTTCGAAAAGTGAAAAAAGCGCAAAAAATCAAAGCTAGTCGGCTCACATTTGGAATTGATTGAGATTCTCCTCATTCCTCCTTTTTCTTTACGTGTTTCCACCTCTTTACGTGTTTCCACCTCAGCTTCTCCTTTCCTACCTCACCAAAACTTTTCTCAAGCTTCCATTTTTAACGGATAACCACCTAAACCGTTTGAATGGTTTGTCTCCAACATGAGAGGGTCGAAGGGGGCCGTCCCCCCCCCCCCCCCCCAAAAAAAAAAAAAACCCTCGTCAAAAATTTCTAGAAGAAAGGAAGTGAAGTGATTTGGAGGGGGAGAGGCATGTGGGAAGATTGAAGGAATTAGTTCAGTGAATTACTGTTGCTGAAGATCATAGTTCTCATCAAGGCGAATGAAGGAAGCAGTGGATGGTGAGGGGAAAAAAGGTGGGCCCCAGTTATGTTGGTTATTATTTTTTCTCAAAAAGGTTAAAAGCTTGTTGCGGAACTTATTTATAAATTATTTTTAATATATTTTATTAAAATTAAAAAATTTAAATTTATTAATTTTATCTTAAAATTTAATAATGTTTTACTTTATTCTTAATAAATATTCTTAAATTTATTATTAATATTTTTATTTAAAATATTTAATAAAGATAAAAATGTAAAAAAATGATTATTAGAAAATAAGTACTTTATAAATAAGATCAAATTTTTTTTCTCTCTCTATTTTTATAAATAGGATAGAGGAGTATTATGATAAGTGATGTTTATATGATATATGAACATATTTATTTGCAAGGATATCATATAACAAGGTCATTTCAATTTTTACTTCCCTCATCTCTATATATAAGATGTTTTTAATATAATTATGCAAATTAATAAAAGTTGGTTATCTATTAAAACCACAATAACATTTCAATTTTTTTCCTAATTATTGTAAATAAAAATAATTTTTTTCAAAGTAAATTAATAAGAGTATTTTTTTTTCTCTTTCTAATTTAATAAGGATATAATGGTCCATTATTAAAATGCTAACAGCCCTTTATATTTAGAAATAAAAAAAATTCTAAAAAATTTTTATATATAAAGACGAGGGAGTAATTTTTTATTATAATTATTTTTATCATCCATTGAAATGCATTTTAGCTAGATTCTTTAATTTTTTTTAAGTGGCAAGTTATATTAAATGATTTTTTAAAAAATTATAAATTCAAAAATATGGCTTTTAAAATATTTATATAATATGAAACAATTTTTTCATTTAATGATATTTTATAAGTTATAAAATTATTTTTAAAAAATAAAATATAAATACACACGCATTAAATTTTAAAATTGTCCCCCCACAGATCTAGCTTTTTCCGCGCTTGGGTTGAGGATCAGTTTGATTCATAAAACATGATAAAATATTTGACTGTAACTTTCGTTGTTTGGTCATCCAATCGTTAATTCCACTTTACGACATTGGACTGATCAAAATTAATAACGGAATTGTCTAAAGAAAAGAAAAGTAAATGAGAAGAATTGATAGTCGAAATATCCTGACATGATGCAAACCCTTTGATATTTTCTTCCCTTTCCCAGGAGAAGCAAGCGGCATCAATTTAGCATCTCATTTTTCCCCTCACCCGATTGATAATTTATGAGTGGCATTGTGTTGCCACCGTTAGACAAACCCCACCAAGTCAGCTTTACGAACTGGTTGGTTTGTTTTCGCCGCGTGCCTTGCGTCTTGTAACTTAGTTTTCGTGGATGAAAATATCTTAGAAATAATATAATAAAAAATTCTCTTGGTTCTGCTTCAACTTGTTCAAGATAAGGAACCCTAGACATGTGTGGTTTGCAGCAGTCTTGTGCTATTTTTTCATTTTTGTAGTTTTTGTTATTCTTGTACCCTTGTTTCAGCGTGTCTCTCAAGTATTCAAATCTATACGCGACTTTTCCAGTCTCACTTGCTATATTAATTAACAGTAGCATTATTGGTTCTCATTAATTAGAACCTGACTGCTGACTAATGAACACCTTGTGGTTGTATAACTGAAGATAGGATCAGATTAAAAGTCTTCTCTGGAATATCTACCACTAAGTTCTCTTGTAACTGCAAAGATTAGTGACTGCATGTGCCTGCTGATCTGCTAAATTCAAGATTTGAAAGAACTGAAAATGTATTTTCTGCACTTTTTTGAGTTATCTCATTACCCCATTGCTAATTAAAGAAATGACAAACTAATCATAACTTTTGGGTGAATCATATATTAACTGGAGACATTAGTATGTTTCAGGAGATAATACTATTTCTTAGACTGTTATAATATTTATAGATCTACATGCTTTGAATCAAAACCAAGTACTTAATTAGGAAAAAAAAAAATTGATCAAGCAATGTGTAGTTGAGGCATCAGCATCAAGGGAATGAAAGTACTGAAGTGGGACAGAGAAATGGAGGGACAAGTTGGTCGTGTTGTTAATTCCGAATCTTGAAGGAGCTTTAACAGACAGATGATGTTTTGTAGTGTATTGTAGGAAGGTCCTAATTAGCTGAGCTGTCCTTGTAATGCACAGCCCTGCCATTGTATGTTTCTGCGGCCGAAATGAATCCTTATCTCTTAATAACGTTTCTTCTGCCTCTTCCTCTTTCCACTTTTTTTTTTTTTAAGAAAGAAAAATCAACTAACCGGAAACCCCGGTGGGAAAGATGTGCATGCAACTTCAAGGAACACAAAAACAAGTGGATAATTTTTTTTTGTTGTGTCGAATCAATACAAAGTTTGAAAACATTTTAAACGCTATTAATAATTAATACTCCCTTCTACATCACAAATTGTCATATGTAGGCACAAGCCATCTTTGTGTGTGTGTGATATGTGTACAAGCAATCTCAAAATATCAGAAGAATGAATATTCAGAACTCAAGTTTGGATGGGATTTGCAGTTATGGGTAAATGGGATCACTGATCAGACTTGCTCTTTCTTTTCTTTTTTAAACAATCAGACTTGCTCTCTCTCTCTCTCTCTCCCCCATTTTTCTAAGGCGTTATTTGGTTCCAAAACCTCTCCCGAAATAGGAAGGAGCCCCCCTCCTCTCCCCTCCCCCTCCATCTCCTCCCCTTCTCTCTCCTCCTCTCTCTTTGAACCAAACAGAGCTTAAAGAAAATCTACTGAGTTTCATTGTATCTGCCCACAACACCCCAAAAAAAAAATAAAAAAGCTGATGCACTTTTTCTTATTTCCACGTGTAGGATAAGCTGCTGCTTATCTCTGCACTTATTGACTTATAGATAAGCAGCAGCTATAGGGGCAGTAGGGTCCCCTACATCCACCAATCCTGTAAGCTTTGCATCATTCAAATTTTGCTTGTGTTATGGTAGTCCTTTGCTAGCTATCTGCCTTTCACCAGCTTCGAAACCACGCGCAATGATTCTTGATCCAACGGAAATTTGATACAATCTCTAGTTTCTTGATGTATCTCAAGTACTAATTATAGTCTTAATGTCTTGTACTCTATAGCTACTGTCTTCTGCAACTATAGCAACTGAATCTAATATGATTTTAGTCTTATCTCTCAATTTATCCGGGCATCAGCACCCGAGTCAAGGAATAGTTTGTTCATGGAAATATAGTTTCTGACTTACAGTGATAATTAAAAATTGCTTAGCCTCTAAGCAGATAGCAAGTAGTGAGTAACTGGTGAGGGCTTTGGCATAGTTTGCAAGAAATTTAAGGTAATAATCTCTTTAATCACACTAATACATCATACTACTAAAATATATAAAATAGGGTTTTCAAAAGGGGTGAGGGGGGCGGGATTCCTCAGGGTCCCAGATATTTTCATACGAATTCGCAGCGATTGCACATGCAAATGATCAGAATACTAGTTTAAAATCCGTGGAGGATTCTCAGATTGATCTATCGCTTTCACGTGCCTGGTTCCCACTTCAGCAAATTATGCAAACCGAGCAACTAAGATATTTAGCAGCAAGGTAGAGATGAAGCTTGTGAAATAGCAAGAACAGAATATTCTGAAGGAATCTTCTGTATCCTATAATAACAATATCTTTTAAATTTTCTTTTGGTTTATCCATTTGATATCTTATTTACCTTGTACTTGAATTTAAAAGTTAGATCCTATTCTTTAGGAGTTAGGATATCTAGTGTATCGATTTATTCTACACCATCACATATACTTGTAAACCTGATTTCCCAGATGGAATAAGAGAGAATCAGAGGAATGTAATGAATCTCCCTGAAGCCTCTGATCACCAATTTCTCCATATTTATATGACAACTATCTTGTAATAATTTAATCAACAGCCTTCAGAGTCATAACTGCAAGGTCTATCTCTTGGACGAATAAAATTATAAGATGTGCATTGATGAATATTCAGCTATTCGCGAGGGGAAAAACAGATCCGATTCGGTCACCAAATCGATAGCACTTGATGTTAACTGAATATGGACCAAGCTGAATGTGATTATCCTCCTCACCCACGTAGAAACATAGAGTATACAAGGCAAGTTCGAATTCTGGGCTCACCCCAACGAAAGTGCTCGACAAAGATTTCAGAACTCCATTCCATTCAAACTGAATCGTCAGCAGCTGAGTTTTCAGAATCTGGCTGCAAGGACACAATAGCAAATACTAGAAGTTTACAATGTCATGGTTGCAGCTTAAATCAGGAAATACTAAGTTATACCAAACAAAATAAAAAGATGATCATAGAGGCTATGCCATTTTACAAAAATGATTTATTTGAAAGTATATATATGATTTTGATGTATAATGCAGAAAGTTTACTTGCATTTAGTGCAGTAAAATTAGCATTCCATACATAGCTAAACAATCTATGAAAAATCTCTGGTCCAAAGAGAAACAATTCTAGCAACAGTAGGCTAATGGCTATCCTTTTTGGATGATAAACACCAGAAACAATAAGATTTTCATCATTTTCAAAATATGCTTTCAATTAAAAAGGTCGTAAAGAACATAGACCTAATTGAAAATGTTTTTCTGGGAAATTAATTTCCAGTGAAAACATTTTTCACAATCATGCTATCTTTGGTAAAATAAAAGGAGCCTTAATCTGTTTCAAACAATAATCATAACACATTGAACTAAGATATTATACAATTCTGGCTTCCGCCGCTCGGTCACTAATTATTCACTCCATTAAGGCATACATTACTCTGGTAGATAAAGTTCTCAAACAGTAGCAAGCACCATGGTAGATAAAGTTCTCAAACAGTAGCAAGCACCATACTATCCTTGACACCATAGCTAATTGAAAGTATTCTAGAATATAGATTAAATTTATTATTGCTTCGCGTACTGCAGAAAATATAGGTCCTGAGTCCTGACATTCAACTTAAGACCTAAGAATTAGCATGTATCTAGAAGCTATCATTTAACTCAAGTTGCCAATCATTTTTCTTTGTCTACTCAATAATTTTATACAAGTAGATTTTGAATTATATAATCATATTAAACAGGATGATTAATTCTCGCAAGGTCCTGCAAGAGAAATTACATTCGTTTACTGATTAATGCAACTTTCCTGAAGTTTTAGCACTTAATGCACGTGGCCACCATGTGGATGAAGAAAATATAATATAGATCAACCAAATGAGTTTGGTGTCCGAAAATATTTGACAAGATTTAATCCCATAATCTGTAGATGCAGGTAAAAATACGCTCAGCATTAAATGTTGAATTTGAGCATGCACATAGATAAAGTCACTGACAATATCGCCCCGCCTACGACTGCTCAAATACATCATTAATCAATAAGTGAAATGAAAAATAAATATAATGTCATGATAAAGACAAAATAAAACTTAAAAAACAAAACTATGAACTATCAGCTCAAATCTGTCCATTCAATAACTTCAAACGCACAAAGAAGTAGAAAGCTGATGAAAAGAAGCATTACCAAATAAAGTAAGCAAATTAATCAGCAGATCCGAGTAAAGAGCAGTAGATAAGCAGCATGTTAACAGGCTATTCACAAATAAAAATACCGTATATTACAAGCATGAACCCCATTGTAAGTAGGAAAAGTGTAGATACAGCCAACTCCAACAACACAAGACTGCTGGTAGGTATCACTGAAGTGTTGACTAAGTTATGCTCTATGGACTACTATTTACAATACCAGTGGATGGTTCTATTACCTATGGTATTAAGGACACATCCACAATCCAACAATTGGCTTATTTATGACCCTTCCAATATTTGATTATATGTCAAAGTGATGGTTGATAAGGGACTCAGATATGATATCCCGATTCCTAATTTGATATCACCTTTTATTTGGCATCAGTTATAAATACATTCCAACAAGTAGGGCGGAAATACAAGGTCACACACCTGAAGCCAGTTATGAAAGCCAGAAACTTCTCCATTTTGCTTGATTTCTCCAACAAAAACGTGTTCAAATGCAGAAGAAGAGAACAAGAAGTACCACCTCGACAATAAAGTTCAAACCAAAGACTGTTAATCATTCTTTTAAAATCCTGGTAACTCCCCGATGCAATGCCCTTTGATACACAGATACTTATGAAGATATTTGACCGGTGCTGTTCTGCAGATTTCTTCTATGAAAGCAGCTTGCTCTTGTCTCTCTTCAGATGTGACAACTTCTTGTATCCTTGCTGAGGATTGTAGTTATCTAGAAGTGAACAAAAACGAGCAAATGTAGGCTTTCTGAACGCGTCATCACAAACCCAGGTAAAAAGGTTCCCTTGTGCCATATCTTCATTCTGGCAAACCTTTTTCCCTTCACCGCAATCAATTTCATAATCTTTGCCAGGCACCAAACGGGCCAAATCAAGATCCCAAAGTTTACTACAAGCTTGTGACAAATCAGCAAGTTCGTCTTCAGAGGGCTCAAGAGTGGCACCAATTTCAATGTCATTTGAGTATTCTTGCTCGTCAGCAGGTACTTTATAACCACCCCAGTGGTCCTTTATAATCTGTCAACAAGTTGAAAGGGTACATTTTTCAGTGAGCTTTTGCAGTATGAAGTAATCTGGACTGATTGCATCCCACACTGATAAGTTGATTAAACGTATCATGCCTGGTAACAACATTACCAGCATCCAAAAAAATAAATCATTTCAAGAGAGAAAAAGAATAATTCTAGTTCAATGTCTTTGCCTAAAATGAATCATCAAGAGTCATCCTAGACGCCATTTAGAATAAACCTTGTGTGACTTCCTTGGAGGTTTCTTGCCAACACTTTGCCATCCACCGTCATTTTCTTCATCCAGCTGAGAAAAAATAAAAATAAAAAATATTTTTTAATTGGGGGGACAAAAAAGCAAGGAGCCTACTCAAAACTTTCTAAAATGCAACGCATGCGAAAAAGCTAAAACTCAAAACTGAGATAAAGGGGAGAAAATTCACCGTTTGGGGTCTGCTCGAAGTGTTACAATTCTCAGCTTCCCACTTCTCCGGCTGGGGACTATACTGTTCCTGAAATGATCATATTTGTCAACAAAGACACAATATAGTTCGCGCAATGGGGTTTTTTCTACAATTAAGGAGTATGACTATTTGACCAACTAAAATATAAAATAGATCACCTTATGGGGCTTGTACGAAGTCTTGTAAATATCGTCTTGCCTATTTTTCTTGCCCGGGACGATATTGATCCTGCAATCACCGAAAAGATGTCAATATAAATTAAATTCTACATCAGTTGTGAGATTAGAGTGTCAAGATCGATTTTTTTTTTTTTTTTGAAGAAAAAAAGATTTCACCTTGTGTGGGGTCTGGTTGAAAGTCTGGAACTGTCACTTCCCACTCCTGCTGCTCAGGACGAGATCGCTCCTGCCAGTCAAATTCGCATTTTATCACAATTTTATTTTCGAAAACTTCAAGTTCATATCACAAAAGGAAAAAAAAAAAAAACAACGTCCACGATCCCAAAACCAAGTCCAAGCGCAAACCTCTTTATTCCAGTTATTTCCACCGTACCCATGTCTGCGATCACCCCCGCCTTCGTCGTTATCCTGATCTCCGGACACAACCTACACATTTTATCGCCGATCAAAGAAACATCGACCTTAAAATACTAAGTCATTGATTCGACGGAAGAGTAGAGCCAACTACCTCGGCCCAAGTGGATCTAGAGCGTTCGTTGCGGGACAGTGAATCGGGTTCTTCGTCATTGCCGAGGCGATCAAGAACAGCCCCGGCGAAGCCCTTAATCAGATCCTCCATATTCAGCGAGATGATTGCAGAAAGCGAGTGCGGCGAATGTGAGTGAGTACACCTTGCAACTCAAGGGGTTGAAGCGAGTGGTGGTTGGCGTGAAGTAGATGGGTCAGTAAAGACGAAGTGATGGCGGGTTATGGCAAAGTTAAGTAATATCTTTGGCCTGGCAAGCTTGTAATAATTTAGAAAAAATTGAACGCGCTTGATCTGATCGCCGCCACAGAAGGGCGATACACGTGTTGAAGATAGAGAATTTTGAGTATATTTCGGACGGGGCCACATGCAAACTCTTTATTTTAAATTAACAAGCTTATATATATTCTCCCTAATATAAGCTGTTTCTAAAAAGTTTTTTTTTATGATCCAGAAAAAATTTTAAAAATATCTAAATATGTATAAAATTAAATATGTGCTCATGTCTATTTTTATTAAATATATATATAAATATATATTAATAACATATTTTTTCATATTTAATGAAAAGTAAATAAAAAATTTATGATAAAAATTTAATAACGTAATTTATGAATAATACTAAAAAAATTCTCTTTTTCCCTGCATATAGGATTAGAGAGAGAGTGTGTATGTGAGAGAGAGGGAGAGATAATCATATAAAAAAATATTTTTAACTAGAGTGCAAGTGAAAATAGAGGAAAAAATGAGATATAAAAGTATGTTTGATATGTCAACGAAAATGAGATAAAAAAGAAAAATTCACGGGAAAAGATATTACAATACTCAAATGTTAAACCATTCAAGCATAACACTGTTGGAGCCCAAAAAAAAAACATCATTGTTCAAGAAGAAAAATTCAGGGAAAGATATTACAATACTCAAATGTTAAACCATTCAAGCATAAAATCATAAAAAATCATATTTCATATAACAAGATCTAAAAATCATGGAAAACAATTCAAGGAAGAAAAGGGATGAGGTCTATATGTTGGAAAAGAAGATGAAGATCACAACCTAGAACTGTGAGCCTTGTCTCAAATGGATGCTTGCATGGTTGTGCTCTTCAAGGTAGTGTTTCAAGTGAAGAATCATAATGGTGGCTGCCGAAGATCTTTAAGACCATGCATTGTCGGTGGAGGATTGGCATTAAGAATCAAATCTGATTTCATATCTATTTAATATGCCATCATTAAGAATTATAGTAGTGGTTAACCATTACCGTCGTTGCTACTGGTAGGTTGTTGTCATTGGTGAAGGTGAAGGGTGAGTTAGAGCTTGCAAGAACGATGAAGGAAGGAGAAGGCAAGGGTAAACAAGTCTAAGGAAAAAATGGAACCAATTTCTATTAGGCAAGACATGGAACCTTATTCCATTGATTTGTTGGAAGTGGGTTTTATAGAAAATTAGGTTCCATCGTACTAGACGAACAAAGATATTGGTTTCACTTGCCCCATCCAATTCCTTGCTACTAAATGGGCATTAAATCTTACACTTTTAACTATCTCATCAAAACCGATAAAAGTTGGTTAAGATATTTACAACTTCATAATACTTTTATGTATCTAGATTGTTTGTATAGGTCTGTGAATGAAATTTTTTTATCATTTTTTTATTTTTTTTATAAACATACGAGAAAAATGGCATTGAGTTGAAAAATTTATGATAGTGTAGAAAATGACTAAGCCTCAAACAACATCAACAGATGACCAAAAATTATGTTTGGGGTAAATTGAAACGACGTATATTCAAAAGGGTACAATTGCTAAAGTGAAAAAAGAGATGGGTGAATGAACTGTTGGCCCAGCAAGAGATTCAATAATGATAAGATTGGTCTATATCATGATGAAATAATTTGATCGAATCAGTTCCGATCTTTAAATCCCGTAATACTAGGAACCATTATCTAGATCATTGCCTCACATGAGACTCTGGTCTCAATGAGCTTTGAATCTTGCAAGATCGCAATCCTCATCTATAGATATTTTGGGACATGAGCTGGTAGTTACACATTGTAAATAAGAAGAAATGTATCACGCTCAAGCTTAACTTAACCCTTAAGATTAAGGATAGACGTACGAGACTATTCAAGGGGATATAATGTATCATGCCACAAATTTCATAGGCCATTGCTATTGAATCATTGGTATTTATGAAAACAACAAGCTCTGGATTCTGTAAGGGCAATTGCTTCAGTTAATTACTATAGAAAGGAAGAGAAAATCACATGAGAGGAGTTTCAATATAACGTCCTCAAAATTTTAGCCTGATTAACTAAGCTTAGCTAGGGTGATTAAGTTTATTAGTGAGGTGTGTATGGGCCAGAAAAATCTAACGGGCATATTTGATTGTAATTCTAACCCTGGTAGTATAATAAATGTTCTAGAGTATAAATTTATTGATGATCTTTGAATCTGTGGCTTATGGATCAAATTCTAAACTAGATCTGAAAATATATATTGATTTATTGAGATTTAGATGATTATTTGGGATGAGAAATGAATTATTATGGTTATAGGATTATGATTCTAAGCTAGAGACTCAATTTTTAATTTTTAGGTATTTTAGGTACGAATTTATGAAATAAAAAGAAAATTTTGATAATAGAAATTAGTTTAGAAGTTAATTTTTAGATTATTAATGTTTATTGATAATTAAAAAAGGAGTTAAAAATTTTACTTAATAGTATTAACTATAGATTTGTATTAAGATTGAGATTAGGAATTATGTTATATTTTTAATTCTATTATTAGAATTATTTTATTAGTTTAAAAAATTAAAACTAAATTTATAAATAATATGTTATTTGTAGATTGTATTACTGGTGAAAATTGTGGTGAGAGAGAAATTTTAAGGAATAATTATTAAAAAAGCCACAGATAACTATGCTTTTAATTTGTGATTAGTGTTAATTCATATTAATTGGGTGATTATTGAGAAAATATGAATTTTTAATATGTATAATTGTGCAATATTATTATGAATTTGTTTGATTATTGTGGGAAGTGTTGGGAGACTTGCTATTATTGTTGTATTTATGTGCCCGTGGTACGCTCCTATTGGAGCTCAATAGGTGGCTTGTAAGGGCTCGGGCTATTTACCTTTGGCCGAGTAATTTAGTACCGAGTGAGGGCTACGGCTCGAGGTAATAGAGAGATATAAGGATGGTTATTTGTGTGTATTGTAATATTTCTTATATTTGTTGAAATTATATTATTTTTAATTCTCACTTAGTAAGCACACACTTAACTGTTTGTATACACTATCATAAATGGCTTTGGTTACTGGGACTTTTGAGTCTCATTTGTGGTTAACAATTTTCAAGAGAAGAGCCACGAGTGACACGTGGAAGAGTCCCAGAGGCTTAGTGGTATAGATCCACTATCTCTTTTTGGGTATTTAATTTATGATTTATAATGTGTTATATTGCCAATATTAGGGCTTTTTGTTTATTGTCAATTATATGAATATATAAATGTAATCATGCCTTTCAAACTATTTTTATTTTTGGTACAATTTGGATGACTGTAATTTTAATATTAGGTTTACTTTGGATTGTTTAAAATGGCATAATTATAAGGTCAAATAACTGGCTTGTGTTGTGAAAATTGACTAAATTGCTTATTTTACTTTTTGGGAGTATAAGGATGGACAAATGTGATTTAGTTTACTTGTTGGGAGTATAAGGATGGACAAATGTGATTTAGCCTAATGGCATATGAGAGGTAAAAATTTATCTGAAATGTTATAGTGTGTGAGTTGAAGCCAATTATAAAATATTTTATATTGAAATTATTGATATAAAAAAGTGTTGGGTGGCTGTAACCCAACTATGGTTGAGTTAAATTATTTTTATAAAAAAAAATTTTTGTGTGTTACATACGAGACTATCAAGGGGATATAGTGTATCATGCCACAAATTTCATGGGCCATGCTATTGAATCGTTGGTATTTTATGAACAAGCTCTGGATTCTGTAAGGGCAATTGCTTCAGCTGAATCACTATAGAAGGAAGAGAAAGTCACATGGAGAGGAGTTTCAATGTAATGTCCTCAAAATTTTAGCCTGATTAACTAAGCTTAGCTAGGTGATTAAGTTTATTAGTGAGGTGTATGGCCAGAAAAATCTAACGGGCATATTTGATTGTAATTCTAACCCTGAATATGAGTTCGAAGTAATGTCAGGTTGCTTGGATGCGAAAAAAAGGAAAAAATCTAAAGGGTATAGGTCTGTGTCACACCCTGCGGCATGTGGACCATCCATCGTAGCACATGTGAGGCAATCAGCCAAAGAAGGACCTCTCCAGGCCATGCACCGCTCCGATACATGGTCATTTTTCTATGGATATATAGTGGCAAAACTAAAAAAAATAGAAGAAAAACAAAGGAGAAGCGAAAGAGAACCTAAAGAGCTCTATTACGGCTTGAAGAATTAAAGCATTGAGAATGTTTTAAAGCTTCTAAACATTAGTGGTAAGTTTCTCAAGCTTAAATCTCTCTTTCTTTTCTATTTTCTCTAGTGAAAAGTTGGAGTTTGGTTGAAAAAGATGGTTTTCAGTCTATAGAGGTTATGGGATTAACCCATTAACTTAAATAAAGTTAATAAGAGTTGATTAAGTTATTTAAACCTAGCATTTATAATTCCATGTGCTTTTGGTTGGTTGGGGCCATAAATGAATGAAAATCCACTATTAATGAGATGGTTAAGGCAATGTGATTTCATTAATAGTAATTTAAGAGTTCAATAAAGTTAATGCAAGTTAGAGGAAGATATGAAGCCTATTGGGTACCCTTGTATGTGAAGGGATTGAATCTTAAGAGTGAAAAAGTGTTAAATTAGATAGTGAAAATTATTTAAAAAGGGGTATTGATGATTAATATTATGGTTAAATATAAAGTAAGTGTATTTGGCATCATCTAAGCTTTGGAAGTGTGTATTTGAAAAGTAAACCTTTAATCTCTTAAATGTTTGAAATAACTGAGAGAATTCTTTCTCACATTTTATGTTTGAATGATTTATTTTGTGAATTATTGAAATGCAATTGTGGCATTTAATATTTGAAAATTAAGAATTATGTATATAAGGAGTTCAATGATCACGTGCAAGTAGAGTTCAATTATTT